CCGGGGCCCCTCCTTCCACCTTAGCTCCCTGCCAGCCCTTCCTTAAACTGCCAGGGAGGCCATCAGGTGCAGGGGTCACTCTGGCTCCAGCCTTCCCAATCAGACCGGCTTTGATCTCCAGCTGTCTGAGGAGCTCACCCTCAACGTTTTGGACTTTTGCAATCACAAGTCCTTTTGTGGGAGAAAGAGGAGGCCGTCTGCCCCCCACACCGTCAAGAGGAAACCCTATGCGGGGTCGCTATGCCTGGAAGACAGTGGGTTTAAGATCCTTCAAGGTCCGTAGTCCCCACCCCCGACTGGGTCCGGAGCAGAAACTCCATACTTCTCTCCCAGGTGGCTCCGAATTCCCGCTTCCCCCCTGCCCGCTGGGCACCGTCCTGAGCCCCCCAGAGCCGTCCACTCCCATTTCGGACACCAGAGGGCGCGGCAGGCCTTGCGTTCCCAACCACGAGCCCACCCAGAGCTGGTGCCACCCACCCAGGGGCGCCTACAGCGCAAGGCCTAGAGACCCCATGGGGCAGTCCTCTCTGTGCACCCGAGGCGGCGGGAACCAGGGCCGACAAGGGGCAGTTATTCGACAACGCCAGACCAGCCGGAGGGCAGAAAACCAGCTTTATTCAATCTCCATGGTCTGGAGGCGGCGGAGGAGGAAGGGGTCCGCTCTGTGGGGTGGGCTCAGTGCGGGGGGAAGGCCACCTCGGCGTCGCAGGTGGGGTCCGTGCGGCAGCCGTCTGGAAGGAGAGAAGCGGGGTCAGGGGGGCCCGGCTCGCGCCCCCCGGCCCCAGGTCCAGCCTGGCCAGCCCGGTGCCCGGCTCACCCGGGCTGCAGCAGAGGCCGGAGGCGGCGCAGCGACCCCCGTTCCCGCAGGGCTTCTGGCCAGACTGGCAGGGCGACAGCAGGTAGTTCTCCTCCTGGCAGCGCAGTGCCTCGGCCGTGCCCACGAAGCAGCCTAGCTCGTCCCCGCAGCAGATGTTGGGCCCGAAGCAGCGCCCCTTGCCCCCTGGGCCGCAGGGGAGGCACTGCGGGCACGGGCGGGGACGGGCGGGTGGGACAGGGTGGCGGGTCAGCCCGGAGCTGGGGAGGCTCTCCGGTGAAAGCTACAGCCTCCCAGCTTTTAGCCCAGCCCAGGCAGGCTGCTGTGGGTCAGCGTGGGGGTAGGGTGGGTGGGGGTGTGTCAGGGCAGGGAAGCCTTGCTTGGGGAGATGCTCCCTTTCCTGGGAGGTCCCTCCTGCCTGGTGAGCGCACGGGAAGCAGGGTTTCGGGAACTCACCTTGCGCACGTCGAGGTCCGGAGTGGCCCGCTTGCCGCCCAGCGGGCAGTTCTGAATGTAGCAGGCGGAGGTCAGCGCCAGGAGGCCGAGCAGGCAGCAGGCGAGGCTGGGTCCGGCCATGGTGTGTGCTAGAGTCCGGAGATGGGCAGCTGGCGGCCCGTCTCTCCACCAGGTCCTTTTATGCCTGGGGGCCCCCCCGCCAGGCCAGTACCGGCTAAGAGGGTGGCCGAATGACTGGTCACAACGGGTCGCTGTAGGTCAGGCCTCGCTCACCCCCACATACGCTCTCTCATTTGCTGGGGCCGAGAAGAGGTCAAAGTCGCTGCTTTGGCTAATTGACCCAGAGCAGAAGGTGGCTCATGGGCACTGGGTGGGAGGAGGCTGGAGAGACTAGGGCCCTGGGGTGGGACAGGGAGTATGTGAGCAGGGGTGGGGGTGGGGGGCAGGCAGCCAAGGACTATGGTCAGACTCCCAGTACCTGGGGTGGCTTACATTGGCCTGAGCTCTAGGTGTGGCAGCAGGAGCCCTGGTGGCATAGCAATTACTCATTGTAATCACACCTGGCACTGCCAATGGGCAAGGTCAGCAGTTCAAACCACCAGCGACTCCGTGGGAGAAAGATGAAGCTTTCCACTCCAGTAAAGAGTAGCAGTCACGGAAACCCGATTGACTCCCTAGCAGTGATGGTTTACACAGAAATGTAAAAAGCCTTGCCCAGGGGCGTCCGTGGCCATAGGACTGACGCATCACCTCCTACCACATTGCTGCTGCTAGTTGCCCTGGAATCCATTGCACTCCTGAGGGCCAGAAGCAGATGGCCAGGTCTGGGTGGGTAGCAGGTGCCAACCTTTCAGCACCTCGTCCAGCGCTTCACCACGTAACTATCTGAGCCACCAAAGCCTCCTCACGGCCTGAAGTGGTTTTAGTGTCTCAGCAGGGCCAGCCCCAGGGCAGAGGAGACTAGAGACTGGAAGGGCCCCAGCTTCGCCTGCCCTCCAGGGACCCTTCTGGAAGAGACTGAGGGACCTCTGGGACCTGTATGTATCCCACCACCCAGTGCTGAGCAGGTCGGGCTGCTCTGAGAGCTCCCCGCGCCCCCCCCCACCTCCCCACCCCCCGCCCCCCGTGCGGCTGGCCATCACTGAGGAGAAGCTGGTTAGGTTGGCCTAGAGGACAAGCCAGACAGCAGGCCTTGTTTTGCATCAAAATGAGCTCGTTGGCATTGCCAGCCTGGGAGGTCAAGGACTTATTGCCAACAGAAAGGTCTCCAGCATGCTCTGTGGGCCCAGTGACCTCACACGGCTAACGTGCACACATACATTATCTCAGTATAATGTCTCCCCCCACACCTCCCTGCCAACTGGAGTCATGCTTTCTGCATTTCAACAAGTATTCATCTTAGGATGCGCTGAGCTAGGTAACTTCTGGTGCTGTCTCTAGTTTGGATTTGTTCCCATGGATGTCTGGGTGGAGGTGGGTGGGGACCATCATACAAATACTGGGCTACCTCTGAGATTTTCCCTCTGGATTTTTAAATGTTCTTCCTAATATAAAGACATGGACCATTACAGGCTCTCAGGAAATAGCAGGGAACAAAACAAAACAAACAACACCCTTCCCACCCCCCGAGAAAACGGGTCAAGGGTCACATCTGACCTCCCTCACACAAGGCAGCAAGGTGATTCCAACCACACCGCTGACCACGGACAATTCTTTTAAGGCAGAGGTCAGCTACGGCCCCACCCTCCGACCGGCTCCATCCCATTCTGACAGCCACAGTCCCTCCCCCAGCTCACGACTCCTTTGCTGGGTTTGGTCATCCATTCCAACGGCCACCCGGAACTCAAAGACAATACTCCCAATGATAGGGAGGAGTGGGGAAGTTAATAGGTTACAAAATGTTAAGGATACAGTTTTTTTGTCCACAGCGGCTCTTCTCAGCCATGCTTGCAGGAATGTCTCTCTCTGGTCCTTGGCCTCACAGTCACATGGTGGCTCCTTAGCCTCTGCTTCATCCCATGGGCCAGGAAGCTCACCTGCCACTCTGCTCCAAGGTCGTGCTGCTGCTCCTCTGCTCTGTCTCCTGGTCTTGGTGTTGCTGCCTCTGTTGCCTCAGGCAGGGATCTCGCAGGCTCTGCTGGGGGGGTGTGTGTGTGTGTCTTCTGTCTTGATGCTGGTGGGATTTCTCTTCCTGCTGCAAAAATACCCAGTGGAATGGAAAATCGGCCCACCCTCTTCTTGGAGTCCTTCACACCTTACTTGCAGTGACTGGGCGGGAGTTGCAGGGATGATGGATAGAAGAACCCTACTGTGTTAGTCTGGGTAGACTAGATAAACAAATTCATGGAAACTCATATGTGGATAAGAAAGAGCTTTATATAAAAGAGCAATATATTGAGAATGTCCCAGCCCAGTCCAGATCAAGTTCCTAAGTCCAATATTAGCCCATATGTCCAATACTAGTCCATAAATTCCTCTGGAGACTCATGGAGCCATGCAATAATGCCAAGTGCAGGAAAATCACAAGCCAGTGGGTGGAAAGTCTTGTAGATCCAGTGGCGGTGGAAGGATCTCAGCGCTGACAGAGGTCTCCGTTTGGCTCCAGGGGTCTGGCTCCATCAGTGTGTCTCCATGTGGCTTGTCAATGGGAATGTGTAGCAGAGAGAGTCTACCTGGTCTCCAGTGACCTATTTCTCTCCCTGGTACCTCCAAATGAGGCCATCAAGCTGCAACCTGATTGACAGGCTAGACTCCACCCCTTCGAAAATTGACAAGAGCTTGGGTAACTGCCACACCTACCAAGTAATTTCACTTCACTGCCCCTGCCCTCAAGGGCGTCTGTCCCAGTGGAAGGGAAGGGTGTCAAACAATGACCATTTTCCGGGGTTTGAAGGTTGTAGGTGCTATGGAGAAGATGGGGGCAGGGGATGTTGGCCGTTTGCCTGAGGGCGGTGAGTGTAAGGAGATGCGCATGTGGGGTTGACTGACTCAAGGGCAGAGCAGGGCAGGCCGTACCTTTTTATGGGAGCAGACAGCCTTATCCCCCAGCCCCCACCCTGGCACACAGATATCTGTGGGGAACTGAGGGACTGGATGAGAATGTAGCACAGTTAAGTCCTCTGTGTTCATAATTACGGACCCAGGAAGACCCTCACGGTTATGAGATATATGAGGGGGTACCACATGGAATTTTTTCCAAAGCTATGTAATTAATTGTGTGTGTGTGTGTGTGTGTGTGTGTAGAAAAATTCCATTATCTTTTAATTCCACTTCTCCACAAATTTTTGAAGCCCTTTCCTATACTGAGGAAGTATTAAGGGGGTTCATGATGGCGATAGTTCTGCCACTTCTTTTCTGTAGTAAGTTTTTTTTTTATTAATCACTTTACCGGGGGCACTTACAAATCTTATAACAATCTATCATTCAATAGTATTAAACACACTTGTACATATGTTGCCATCAACATTTCTAAAACAATTTGTTTCTCCTTGAGCCCTTGGTATCAGCTACTCTTTTTCCCCACCTCCCTCCCCCTTTAAATTTTTTTTAAACATTTTATTAGGGGCTCATACAACTGTTATCGCAATCTGTACACACATCAATTGTGTAAAGCGCATTTGTACATCATTCTCAAA